GCTCTAGAATCCTACTCCATCTTGTTTTTTAAAAATGTTTTATGTTCTTAATAGTTCAAAATGGTGGATTTTTATTTTGGTGAATGGCTATATAGAAATACCAGATTAGCCAATTTTAATTCCCTCCAAAATTTCCTGCTATACAATAATCTGTTTGTTTCCATACCTGAATACTGTCTTCACTAGTAATGATGACACTGGATTGTCCAGTAATATTCATGTTAGTACTAGTATCTTCTTCCTCTGCCTCCTCATCTCCACTCTTTCCTCCTAGTCCTTCTGGTTCATTTAGTGGTGACTTGTCAAAAGATCCTAACTGGCTTTCATATTGTTCAAAATGTTCTCTTTCCAATAATGGTAATAATAGTAACTGGATTCAGATACATGTACACTGCAACAAAAAATAAAGTATCAAAAGGGTAAAAGCAAGCATATAAATCTCTTATTGATAAAAAGATGCATGACAAAATTTGCTTGTTTCTAAACATGCTCATAACCAAGTAATTTTGTAGTCATTTTTTGGTGACATATATGCAAATCCCAACTACAGGTACATGTAACTAGGCTATAGCTATTTAAATAATTTTAAACAGTAACTTTAAAAAAAATAAGCCAAAATAATAAAACTACTTCTACTCTCCCTCCACCTGTTCAAGATATTGTAGTCCCACTTCCCTCATACTCTGGGCAGTGACAGTAAAGGGACTGGTTGGTCCATTATATGTGATACTGTTATCAACTATTTGATTAAGATCAACAAGAAACTCCTCACGACTTCTGTAACTATCAGCCTCACATTTCTACAAGAGAGCAAGTATGAATTATAGTCCAATGAAATACATATGATGAATACTTTAAGTATAATTTTAAGAGCAAACCTTTCTCATAGTCTGAAGGTCCATTGGTTTAGTTATGATCATTCTATAATCTGGTAACTTCTTAGAAGATACTGGAAAATGAAATGGCCAAGACTACAAAAAGACAAGATAGAAATAGAATAATAATTATGAGGTACAATTATACTGTGTATACAATAAAAAACCAAGTCTCATATCACTCACATTAGGTACTGCTTTCATTCTTTCAATGGATTTACGACAGAGGAAGGACAGAGCAGCTTGTGGATCATCTTCCAGCAATGGATTAATCTCATGCTCTAGTTTCTCAAGAGCTTGACTGTTCTACAACAAAGAATCCACTCATTATAATCACACCATTACATTATAACACTCAAGTACTTACTTGATTTATTTCTTTGTTAGACATTTCCAACATCCTTTGGGCAGTTTGTA